AAAGCACTAAAAAGTGAAAAATAACTGATTGGTAGTTTTCATTTACTATACATACCTAATCAAATATTTTCGAAGTCGGTGTGCTTTGCTTTGTATGGGCTGGCACCGATTTCGAAAATATTTGATTAGGTATGTATTTAATAGGTAGGCTTTAATTACTTAGCCAAAGCACACCGACTTCGAAAATATTTGATTAGGTATGTATAGTAAATGAAAACTACCAATCAGTTATTTTTCACTTTTTAGTGCTTTTGTTTGAAGTCGGTTTTTATTTTTTTGTTAAAAAGTTTTTATTTTTCCCTTTTTAGTGTAGACATTAGTAGCAAAGTAAGGATTCTAACGTGTTAGGCTTGTCAAATCAAACAAAATAAGCCCAAACTCAAAGTATCTACTATTAGCCGTTGAAGAGTTCCACCTATCCACCTTCTGGCCTTGCCATCAGCTCAGGTCAACAACACCGAACCACTGTACTATCAACGAAAATAGAAATACTTGCAAAGTTTCAAGTCAATATGACAATTAGAAGTAGGTTAAATTCATTATTAGTGGTTTTTCCACCCTTAGGGGTGGTATTTTTTTTTGAAAATTAAATGGGACCAATCTGGAAGTATACCCTTTCAAACAAAACAAAAATTGTCCAAATCGGTTAATAAATGACGGAGTTCTGAGGTAACAAACATAAAAAAAAAAAAAAAACATACAGTCGAATTGAGAACCTCCTCCTTTTTGAAGTCGGTTGAAAAGGCAGAGTTTGTTTGTTTGTTTCTTTGTCTGAATGCGCTAATATTAGGAATTACTAATCTGATTCGAAAAATTATTTTTGCATTAGATAGCCTGTTTATTGAGGAAGGCTATATGCTACTATCCAAGGGAGCGTGCAGTGATATAGAGTATCTGTTCCATACTAACCGTTGAAACGTAGCTGGAGACGAAGCCAAGCGAAGTGAGGTAGAGCTTCTAGTTGATTATAATTAGATTTGCATCGGTGGTGCAGGCGGTTGATGGTGATGTAATTGGACAGTGCAAATGTCAAGGACGCCGCAGAGCCTCTGTGCGACGCGACGGTACCACCAAGTGTAAGCTACTTACACCACATTTATTGGCTTTAAACTTTTCACAAATGGTCATAATTTTGTGAAATAGATAGGTACTAATCTTTTATATTATTATATTATTCTTCAGTAACCGATATTATTATCAGTTACTATGTTAGATTGTTATTGTAAGTGGCAACTAGATGGTTAATGATATAAACTGTAAAATCTAATCTATACATAGTATAAAACAAAGTCCCCCACCGCGTATGTCTGTCTGAACGGGATAATCTCATAAACTACCGAACAGCTTTCGTACGATTTTCACCGATGGACGAAGTGATTAATGAGGAAGGTTAAGGTGTATAATTCATTATGATTTTGTGTAAATTGGCTGAAATATGACGATGATTGTTGAAGATTTCGGAAAAAATCATGCCGTCTGGGAGCTTCACTGGCGTGCGCCTCGTAAACTATTGCAGACAGCAGCACGAAATATTCTAATGAATAAAAAAATAAAAAATACAACAAAAAGCCCTCGTCTAGGTTATGACTATCTTTTAAGGTGGACTCAAAATAACTATTTTTATGGTTCTGAATTTGGGTCTAAAGTAATGCCTCTTCATTTCTGTATCCATTCAACAAGGCAACACAAGTTTCAACACGCGTTTCTTTCTGCAGACCAGTCAAATCATGAGGCACCCATTTTTCATATTTGTTTATTTTTGTATTGATTTGACGCAAATGAGTCAATATTGTTGATAAGGTAACGTTAAACCATGCCGCTAATTCCTGGGTAGTTTGGCTCGGATCAACTTCCACCATCCTATCAATTCATTGTTATTCACCTGTGTCGGTGTGGGCGGTCTTCCACGTGGTTCGTTCTTCAAATCAAAGTTTCCATCACGAAAGCGTTTAAACCAAAATCGCACGTTGCGTTCATTAGCAATCCCTTCTCTAAACGCAACATTGATATTGCGAGCTGTTTTGCCCCGTTAGTTCCGCGTCGGAACTCGGATTCAATAATCACTCGAATTTTTGAAGTATCCATCTTTCTTGTCTAAGCTGGATAAAAAAAACAACTGAAAGTCGATAATCGAATGTCGCACATTTTATAAAAGAAGAACTACATAGGTACCATGTGAAAAAAGTTTCACTCAAAAATCTCAAACCATGAAGGTTCTATGTCAATTCGAAGTACCTATTACAATAAAACGGCAATTTCATACTTTAACCCCTATTATTAGTTAGTATATGTTTTGTTTTATACAAATGTATTACGGAATTATTAGCACCTATTAAATATAAAATATAAATAGTTAAATGGAAAATGTGAGATCACATCTAATATAGATAAAGCACTTAATCAATACAGATAAATAAAATGGAAGTGTCTGTGTGTTATGTCAAAATAACAGCTTTTTATTAGAGATGTGTCGACTATAAGTTTTGCCGACTAGCCGACTAGTCAGTTGGAAAAAGGCCGACTAGTCGGCCTAACCGATTATTGCTTTGTGCGATGTTTTACTTTCTCATTATGCTATACTTCGATTTACGCGAGTATTATCTAATATTAATATAATAATTTTATTTAAAAAATCTTTTTTAAATAATATTTCCAGATTTTTTCGCGGCTTTACTTCGATTTTTGTTCTCGACGCAGCGTTTCGAATGCTTTACAGCAATCATGGTCACGGGAGAGACTTAAGGTTCTAGACGACTCAAATGTATTATATACGTAGTTGTTACAGACAGTGCCTACACACAAAATTATAAAATGAAATTTAATGAAAATAATATTTTTCATTAATAATACTAATCCCCCTTTTATAAGACTAGTAATATGAATAAAGCACTTAATGTCCGACTAGTCGTTGCTTTCGGCCGAATATTAATATGACCGGATAGTCGGCCACTAGTCGGTACATTTCTACTTTTTACTAAATGCGTATGGAATTATATACGGTATTTATTAATTTAATTTTTTAAAATTTTGTCGGTCTGTTTGGCTTTCTCCAAATTTCGTTTCGGCTAATCTCTAAAACGGTTGGGCCGATTTTGACAGGACTTTCACTGGCAGGTATTTGATGTTATAAGAAGTAACATAGGCTACTTTTATTTCAGTAAAAGATTTAGGGTTCCGCTCAAAAAAATTAAAATGTACCTACTGTAATGTACTAAAATATATATGTATAAATAAAAATTAGTGGAGAAATAAATATAAAGAAAGATGGATGCAAAATGTTCTTTACATATCTGTCATATACCTATTTTGTCGCGCTTAACCAAAACACTGGCAGCATATTCTAGATAATATTTCTAAACAGGTTTTGCTAATATGCTATTAATCGTAGTAGAAGAGTGTCCGTGATGACGCGGTGTTTTACATAACGCCATTGTGCAACGACTGGCCGCTTGGAAGTGCCTGTGCGTCCACTGCTCGGACCGCCGAGCTCACTGCCTCATCAGTACCGCACCTCCTTCGACCTCCCCCTGTGACAAATGTCTCTATGATGCCATACTTTGGTTTTAGCTACTCGCTTATTAATATTGTGTCAAAAATATACGAATAAATCTATTTGTCACACATAATAATAGTCGGATTTTAAATAACAATACCTAGTACTTGTATCACTCTTTACTATCTAATAAAAAAGCTCTTAACTTTTTATTATTCTAGTAGTTTTATTATAGTCGAAGACACCTTTATTGTGCATTAAATTGGCATGATGGCATGAGTATGACTGAATGAATTCATTGTAGTGTAAAATAAAGAGACAATGAAGTACCTGTTTTTCCTTCCTTAGCGGATAGTAAATGGTATTGTGTATTAAATAAAATTATTGTGTAGTTCCTAGAATTGTTGATTTTGGGATATAAGGGCTCCCGGCTGCCGCTCGTCGGCACGCTTCCTCCGTACATCTATACTTATATTATAAAGAGGTCAAGTTTGTGAGTTTGTGACGTTGTAGGGGGTTATCTTTGGATTTACTGAACCGATTTAGATGAAATTTGGTAAGAAGGTAATTTGATACCCTGGGAAGGACAGGATACTTTTCATCCCGGGAATCATCCCTTAAGGGGGTGAAAATGGGGATGAAAGTTTGTATAGGGAATCAAGCTAGGGAGGAAACCGATCGAAGCGAGGGTGAGTCGGTAGTTTTTAGACAAAGGTATTTTTCATATATTCTTTTATAATAATAACGAGCCAACGAGTAGGCGGGTCACCTGATGTTAAGCGATTACCGCCGCCCATGAACATTTGTAGCACCATAGGCACCACCAATACGTTGCCGGATTTTCAGAAATTTATTGGTCCACCCCTTGAATAACCCCATGTTATAGTCGAATTTAAGGAGTCTTCATTTCTAGTAAATTAGAAACCAGATCCGCTTAAACAAAGATAATAAGAAAACTAACAATAACAACAAACCTGTACTTGCAGAGCAACGTGACTGTAAAAAAAGCTGCAATGTATATTTTAAAGAAATAACGCACGACAGCCACCATTACCAACTCACCTACCAGCTAACTTTTCCAGTAGGTAGATCTAGTAGTTATATACTGTATATTATTTTTTGCTTTTTGAAACAACCGTGGGAAAACATCTGAAGGCTTCGGCGCCGTTGTTCTTTTCTATTACAGACAGTGCCTCCCCCTCTCGTCCTCCGATTAAACACCGATCAGCTGATTGCTACGATCACTGACTAACTTTTGTGGAAACGGGATATTTATGTATAAGGTTTTAAGACCTGTTTCGTTTGGTATATATTTTAAAATGTATTTTTTGTCTACCTGTAATCTATTAAATTATTAATTATTATGTCTATCGCTAAAACACAGACAATTTTTAAAAGGTATTCTATTCTAAACTTGTAACGGAGTATGAGAGGATCTTTTCGTTTCCAAACGTTGTCGTCATTGCTAAACACAGGCATAGGCATATTATATTAGATAGTTTGTTTATTTTATTGTATAGAATAGTATAGTATAATGGATATGAGTTGAGTCAAAGTCACGTCGTCGCGTCGGACGCTTCGGCAGCAGGGGGAGGTCGAGTGCAGCGGGCAGCGGGCGGCGGACGGCGGACGGCAGTCCCGCGCAGATCGCGGCCAGAGTGACACGCGTTGCGATGCCCGGTGAGCCGGACGCGCCTGCACCTCCCGCACATCGCGCTCTCGCGCCTGGGTAGTGAAGTGAACAGTGTTCGAAGTGTTGGTTCATTTGGCATGTGACGAAATGCTACGTTCAGCTGTCACCGGCGGGATGGTGGGCCTGCCGCCGCCGCCACACGCGAGACTCTCCCTTTTTGACTCCTGTCACCGTAAAATCAGACTCATCAGCGGGGGTCCTGTAGCCTTCCTTGGTGGCCTTGTCGCGTGAGTGCATTTTACCTGAATATTCGAGGCTCTATTCAATTTTTAAGAGTTACATTTAAGCGTATGCCGTTTTAATTATATAATTTCAACAATATACCTTTACAAAATATAATAATACTACTTTGAAAGTCTTAAAAAGTTTCTTCATAAGCGATACTTAACGAATAACAGTGAATGTATGATTTGCGTGGCGTAGCGCACGGAATGGTGCAAATTTCTCTAACGGTAAAAAACTACGCGGCAACCACAAAGCAAGTCACCTAAGGTAATACTTTATTTCTTTTTAAATCTTGCCTGATGCTAACTTGAGCTTTGTGCTCCAATCTTTACTTTCGCGGCTATGAGTACTAGTTATACGAGTAAAAGAACAATATAAATCGGAAAATATCGTTTGTGCAAGTCTTGTATTGTTACGATTATAAATAACTTGACCTGTCCTTGCTTCAGTCAGGTCCAGATTACCTCTGCGCGTTCTCCAATAAATGTTTGCAATATACATACTAATGTTTCACCGGAAACATTACTGACAGCATCGTAACAATAAGTGCATGCCTCCAGTTCACAAACCATGTCATTGCTAATTAAATAATTGCATCAACAAGAATTAAGAAATAGACTTTCGCATTTATATTATCAAGGATGGTTTGCAATTTGCTTGCGTCAAAATATCAATTTGTATGTTATTTCTTTGTAAAATATTTTAAACGTGTATTGGAGTAACGGTGTGCAGAAAGAATGTGATTTAATATCCTTTTAATGTAACATATACTTGAGTTCTTTAATAAATCGAAGAATGAGTCATAATTAGGATTTTTTTAATTAATTAAGCAAAGCAACAATAGATACTTAAAACTCCAACTTGGTAGTCAATTCAGGGAATGAAATTATCAAGATAAATATGTCTTTTGATAATAATCGCGATAATTATCAAGATAATTACTAGATAAATATCCGATAATAGTCAAACAGATATAAACTTTGCAATCCTTGTGTAGGTATTGGTAATGACTACTTGCCTATCATAATTTACGTAAGAATAAGTTATAGTAGTTAGAACTTTTAACAATCAAGGTAATCTTTTATTATATTTTTTTTCATAATTTTGACACATACAACTTGAAAATAAAAACAGAATAAATTTAAACAACTACACAGGTACTATTTAATTAAATTAATGAGTGGAATATCATTCTCATCCTCCTCAATTGCAATAACTCAGTTTGCTTAGTTGGTTGAGAGAGTTCAGTTTGATCGAAAATTTGAAGAGTTGCAAATTAAATATTTTCGATTATAATTTTATCAAAGATCAACCCATATTTATCATGATAAATATCATTGATAATTATCAAAGATAAATATCGTGATAATTGTCGTTTCGAACCCTGACTAGTCACAATACACAAACTTTAAAAAGGTTGTGTAGAAATAAAATATAATAAATGTATATTGAAATGATACATCTGCTAGGTACCTAGTCTGTCTAATCAAAAAAAAAATCAAAATATTGTATAATCGTTTAAGATAAATGTAACGATCTATAGATCATGTAATTGTCCATAAATTATAAATGTCCGGGTACATTTTTTTTGGAGGAAAATAATTAGACTCCTATAATGTGGTGCGCCTTTTTTATGAATTTTAAATATGTAAAATTCTCTATGGATTAAATAAATGAAATGTGCTGATGCTTGTGACGATTACATCTGGAGAATAAACCATATTTGGAAACGTAAAATTTGTTAAACCATGTTGTTTTCATTGCCCTATTTGTAAAATGCTGATGTTGTATGTTTAAAAAATATTAATTCTCTTTACCAATAATTAAACAATTTTTTGAAATACCTATTTCAGATGTGCTTTACATAGATGTTCTTTTAATTACATAAAATACTATTTACTTACCTGGTTTTGCAGCAGTGACATCTATAGTGTTTTTGAGATGGCCAAAATACGTGAATTGTTTAGTTTTATGAATGGAACAATTGTTATAATAAACGAAACGATAGTGACAGATACGGGTTATTACCAGTCGGAGGTAATCGAAGCAGGTATGGAATCATGAATTACAATTACGGAGGCGGGAGCTCGGACCGGTTCTGCGGAACGATCCCATACGGTGCGGCGCAGCGATGAAGCCCGCCCGCCGCCGCCCGCCGTGCAACTTGATCTTATTGACACACATATTAGTGTTACGGTCACTTTCATCAACAACACGAACGCAACACTGCTCCCATTCATCGCAGTGATGAAGGGTGCCGCGTCAACTTGAGCAAGAATTTATTCACTCGTGTTAATATTACATACTATAATATACTATACTATAATATACTTATTTAACGTGAAAATGCCGATAGATACAAAAAAAAAACATTAATATTTACAAAATACCATTCGAATTTGTCACTCAAAAATAGTAATTGCTTCTAGAACCTATTTCTCCTTACTTTAAAAATATTGACAGCGAGGGAAAATGTTTAATAATAATTATAAGGTTAACCATTAAAGTGGTACCAGGGGACCAGGACAGTGCAGAAAGCATGCAGGGCAAAACATATACCTTGAATGATATCTGTGCAAGAAAACCAAACGAAAATTTATTAAGGATAGACACGAGTAATATTTAATACAGAATAATGTTACGGTATAGAACTTCGACTCTGGACATTTATTGTTTGTTGTGATAACTGACAAGGGACAAGTAAACCATATTTTTCAATAAATTGGACTCTTAGGAAAAAACAGCCTAAGCTTTTTCGAGGGTCGCACATTAAATAACACGATGTCAGGGATTCAATTACGTTCAAAAGTTGACTAAGTGGGGATACGACATATAAAGTTATATGTGAATGACTTACTTTTTTTTAAATTAATTTATCGACTATAGAGTATACGTATAAATATAAATTATAAACGTTTACATGTGCACAGTAGTACATCATTTGAAATATACATATTTCGACAATATTGTGTAGCATCTCTGTCATAGTTGCACAAACGACCTCGTGGTTAAGTCAGTGTAATTTCCATATAGCAAGTCTTGTAACAATGTATTTCGCCATTTCTATTCACGATTTAATTAGTCTAACGTAAGAATTGTGTACTGTGAATCAGTTCTCTTGAGCGTGTCAGTTGAGTTCAACAGTTTACTTCACCAATAATACCACTTATTTTATTTCTTTAGGTACCTAGGTACAGAAACAGAAAACAAATTAAAAATTTACAACTAATAATTAATTATATCTGTATACAACATTCAAATAAATAAATATATATAAATATATATATAAACGAACCTAACCACAAAGGTAAAATATGAAAATACAGATTTATACATTACTAGCAAACACGCGGCTTCGCTCGCGCTAAAACTACAAAAAAATCTCTAAAATGGTAGGTTTCATACAAACTTTTATCCACTATTTTACCCCTTATGAACTTCGAAACTTCGAACTTCGAACCCCCGACGATGAATTTCGAAAAATGCTAAAACACGTATTTATTTAATTTTATTGAAGAGCACTAATACCAAGTTTCAAGTACATAATTTTGATTATAAATATTTTTTGGATTGTATTATAACGTGTTTTCCCGTGGAAACTAGATAATATCCCGCGGTAAAGTAGCCTATGTCACTCTCCAGCCCTCCAACTATCTCCACACAAAAAATCACGCCAATCCGCCACTCCATTTCGACATGAAAGAAGGACAAACAAACAAACACACTTTCACATTTATAATATTAGTATGGACTAGCATTACCCGCGGCTCAGCCAGCGTTCAGATGACCAAAAACCAAATTCTTAGGTTTTACATATTAATATACTCTTAAATTGCACTTTTTGTATTTTTTCTCAGAAATGAGATATTTTCCCGCGGTAAAAAGTATCCTATATGTTGACCCGGATAACCAGCTATCCTCATACCAAATTTCATCAAAATCCCTCCTGTGGTTTTTGTGTGATGCGGTAACAGACAGACAGACAAAAATTCTAAAAACCATAGATTCGCCCCCAGTATCGATAATAATGTTTATTTCAATAAGATTTTCCAAAAAATATCTAATGTACAGATTCGGCTTAGTTACAACTTTATTATATGTATAGATTACAGTATGTGCAGTTAATCTATATATATAAAAGAAAGTCGTGTTAGTTACTTCGCTTATAACTCAAGAACGGCTGAACCGATTTAGCTGAAAATTGGCAGGGAGGTAGTTTAGAGCCAGGAGAAGGACATAGGATACTTTTTATCCCGTTCGACCGCGTTCCAATTTTTATGATATTTTAATTTTTGGATTTCTCTTAGTCCGGAATAGGTAAGTATTAAAACATATAATTAAAATGTGAGAAAGAAAGATTTTTTCTTTTTATATCTATTTAAAACGTACCTAGCGACGAACCCGAGCGAAGCGAGGGTGAGCCGCTAGTATTAAATAAAAATATTAAAAACGAAAATTCATATTTACATTTTATTTCAAAAACAACGAAAAAAAGGAGAAGATATAAAGAGAAAGCATATCCTTATTATCGAAAAACATGTAAAAGGGGAGAAAAAAATAAAAAAAATCTGTTTTTCAAGAGGATGAGAAGTAATGCTTTAAAAATACATTTGCTATATTGAAAAAAATGTCACTACTCTTGCTGTTATACGTCATACTACTGTAAGTTGAGGCCAACGATTGTTTCTGTAATAAGTCATTTTGGCTTGTGACATCGACGGTCGTTAGAATTGCGAGTCGCGAATCATAAGCAGTGCAAGTAGGGCACGGAGCGGAACACGCAAACCGGTCGTTATGCGGTAGCTACTGGTATCGGATCGATCACCACCGCTTGGTACAGCTCTGGAACAAACCGATTTTTCATGCTTTACGTGTTTCTTGGTAAAATCAGAATGGCGATACAACATTTTAACTGCCCAATGATATAATTGTCATAATAATATGGACATGCATATCATTGTGAACTTGATTTACAGGAATATAGGTATTATAGTTTTTTTAATACAAAACTAATTTTGTAATAAGTTCAAATTATATCCTTACAATGTACTACATTATACCTTCTAACTACTTTTGTGTTTAATACATTGCTTAGGTACAGAATCAAGGCCATACGAAGCCACAATATTTAAAAGAATTATTCGTTAATCGTTTATGGACTATGTAGGTATATATAGGATGGCCTACCGTACCTCAATACTTCATTATAATGAAATATACGATTTACAAACAATGCACGAGCATATTATGTGTTTACGTATGAAACATCAGCAAAAAAGCGCCTATATTTGATTAGTTTCATTTAGCTTCGCAAATAAGCGGGAGAAGTTCATTATGATCTCAATTAACGTGCAGTTTCTCGCTTCGAGCGCGCTAAGTCACTGTAGCAATTAGGCGCTGATCATGGCGCGCACCGGCTGCGCCGACGCCGGCCGCGAGGGCGCGCGCGCGCCGCGGTGACCGGGCCTGGCTGGGCCTGGCCGGGGATGTGTCTCGACGTGCTCATTACGTACTTGTAAGTTGATCGTACTATCGACACATTCAGAGCTTGTTAAAGCAAACAGCCTTTGAAATAGCAAATACATAAATTAAATTCAAATATTTTTTTTAATAAATTTCTGTAATTTCTTGTTAATCTAATTCATTATTGATTTTGTTGAAATTTGGGTAAGATTTAATTGTTTTATCTTTGTTGTTAAGGTATAGTGATAATCGTCATAATTGATAAAAACATTAAGTTGTAATTTGAACGACACCTCTTCTGTTACTCGTCACAATATAATGATTGTTACTTAAAATGTTTCAAAGCACAATAAAATGGTAGTCGGCCGCGGTTCGCGTACCCCGGTACAGTTGTAACGGGACCGCGCGGCCCCGATATGCGCCGCGGCTCCGTCCCTTGCGGGGTGGGCAGAGTCGGAAAACATTTATTATACTTCAATACTTGGATATATACTATATACTCTTTTTGAAGTTATACTTCTTTTAGAGAGAAAAAATGATGAAAGTAAATTTTTTACGATGCGACATGTTTACAGCATGAAGTTAGGCGTTAAATCTAAATAGGGTGAAGTGATGTCTATATTCAAGATAATAAATCCTTTTATTTCCCGTCTCCTAAATATTAGATGTATATGTTATATACATGAATTTCGATTTAAAAACTTTGCACTATATAGGTTCATACACTTTTTCGATATTTAAACTCAATTAAAATTAAATTTACACTTAATTAACACTAGTAAAAACAGTTAAAATTCAATCAACTAAATTTAAACTTTACTAGTGCTTGTTTTATTTATTTGGTATATTTTTTGGATAGAAACCCCTATTTGGGTGTAGGCCTCTTCCAGTTTGGTCCAGTTTTCTCTGTTTTTAGCTCGTTTAATTCAGTCTATTCCTGCTGCCGCTATAGTGTTGTCTCCCCATCGTTTCACAGGTCGTCCTTTTCGTCTTTTCCCGCTAGGTCTTTTCCAGGTCGTTGCTTCTACTGTCCATCGCTTCATTATATCGTGCTACATGGCCTTAGGCTGTAGTTTAAATGTAGTATGAAATATTGCAAGTTAAATTTGACCCACTTTCCAGTGTCCGATTGAGCTGTTTGGCACACAGGTTTGTTTGGTTCTTCTGACTGCTCGATTACCTAAATGCCGCCATTTTTATCCATTACAGTGGACGTTTCAAAATTATCATTTCCATAGTGACCCCCATGATATGGACGTCAAATGAAAGAGCTTGATGAGCGAAACACAATAAGCAAAGTGACGTCATTGTAAGTCCAATATGATGAACTCCCAAAGATGGCGTACTATGTTTTTTATGCACCCCCATGATATGGATATCAAATAAAAGGGTTTGTTTAGAAAACTACGAAAAAAGAAAAAAAAAGAAAAACCAAAGAAGTATAACTTCTTACGTGCGTACAAAAGTACACACACACACTGTTTTTTTCCTCTGGATAGTGGATATCAAGCAACATGTTGAACACTTGGCTCTATATATGTATAAGTGTATATCTATTAACTAGTTAGCAGTTTCGTCAACCTTTACGTAATGCGACTCGAATGTAGGCCGATTTGAGAAACTGTAGATTTTACACACGCAACTTGTGCGCAAGCCGCATCTCGACGATCATAATTTGTAGTGGGTACTGGGTAATCTTCGTTGCATTAATTTTTTTTTATCTTATATTTATTACTTTTTGGTTAATAAGAAAACAGTAATGTGCGTCGATGGTTTTTTAATAAAGGGGTATAATTATTGTAAGTACATATTTCCTAGTTACCCAATCAAATTAAGTCAAATCAAAATATACTTTATTCTGATAGACTTACGAGCACTTTTGAATCATTACATTTTAAATTCAAATTAAATATCAGTGTAGTCAGTCCGTGAGGAATCTACTACCAGCTCGAAAGACAGTTCTTCTGAGAAGAGAATATGTATAAATAAAATTATAATTTACAATATGTCAATACAATAATTATGTTCTTAATTCTTATCCTAAGGTAAGTATATGTAGAAAATATTATGTAGGTTATATGTATTTTATAATTACTGTAAAACTGAGAAGTTCCAATTTCACACGAGATTAATTGATTAACATTTATAGACTCTCAACAAATCTATCTATATGTATATTATTATAAAACTAAGACAAAGATCTCTGCGTCTGTCTGTCTGTCTGAACGCGATAAACGCAAACTACCGACTGGATTTTCACACGGTTTTCACCAATAGACTGAGTGATTCATGATCATGGAGTAGGTTAAGGTAATATAATTTATTAAGGTTTTGTGTAATTTGGCTGAAGTATGACGATGATTGTTGAAGATTTGGGGAAAAATCATGTCGACTGGGGAGTTTTATGGGTGCGCCGCGTAAACAAATAAAGTTATATGATAACAATGTATTACAGACTTATCCACCTTAAAAGATTTCCCCATTAAACTAGAAACGCCACCTGCAAGTACCTACGACTAAGTAGGGACTTACCCGAGCTAACCTAGGGTGAGTCCCTAGTTAATAAATAAAACCGACTCCAGGACAACCCAAATGATACCTATATTACTCCACTGTTAAGGATAGAAGTCCTACTTCAAATTTATTTCTGTGGTTCATATGAGTTTAGGCTTAAATATAAAAGTAGGATGGATGTGTAACAAACTAAATTAAAAGATAAAATAAAAACTTTTTAACAAAAAATAAAAACCGACTTCAAAAAAGCACTAAAAAGTAAAAAATAACTGATTGGTAGTTTTCATTTACTATTCATACTTAAACAAATATTTTCGAAGTCGGTGCTAGCCGATACAAAACAAAGCACACCACGCACTTACCCTCTTTAGTGTAGATATACTTAGTAGTAGCAAAGTAAGAAGAAAGTATTTTAATTAAATATTCGCTAAAACCGTTTAAGTTAGATGCCAATTTTTATACGGAAACTTACAAACTAAAATTCGCTTTTATTAGTAACACTAAAAATTCTGGCTCTAAAATCCGATTCTAACGTGTTAGGCTTGTCAAATCAAACAAAATAAGCCCAAACTCAAAGTATCTACTATTAGCTGTTGAAAAGTTCCACTTATCCACCTTCTGGCCTTACCGTCAGATCAGGTCAACGATACCGAAACACTGCACTATCAACGGGAATAGACACACTTGAAAAGTTTCAAGTCAATATGACAATTTGAAGTACGCTAAATTCATTCATTAGCTATTTTTCTACCCTTAGGGATGGTATTTTTTTTTTGAAATTTAAATGTGACCAATCTGGAAGTATACAATTTCAAACAACAAAAATTGTCTAAATCGGTTAAAAAATGACGGAGTTCTGAGGTAACAAACATAAAAAAAAAGAAATCATACATTGAGAACCTCCTCCTTTTTGAGGAAGTCGGTTGATTAAATTGAACTGAACATTTTTCTGTTTTTATCTCTTGGTTGAAAATGATGACGTGAGTAGCACAATCCTGTGAACATTACGTACATGTTTCCATTAAATGTACGCATAGCTTTTCTATTAGCAGCCACTAATTTGCCAGCAAATATTCCCCATTATAATGGTCACAATTAACACGAGTGGAGCGGTGACGGAGAGCGCGGTGGGTGCGCTTTCGCCTATCAGTTACCACTATCGCTAACCTCTATACCAGCAACGCTCGTAAACAATCGCTTCACTCCTCTTATCATACAGTTGCGTTGTCCTCGATGCGATCGTCAGCCTGTTCGGAAATTGTGTGCTATAATTCTGATTATTTAAATAATATTCATAATATATGATTTGTCTTCTAGATAGTTGAATATACTTTTTCGTTGAATTTCACGTGATTAAGAGGCTCATCTGACGACATCTTTGGCTCAGTTTGTAGTGGTACTTGCTACGCCAGCGGTCGCGGGTTCGAGTCCCGCTGAGGGCATACATTTGTGTAAAGAGCACGAATGTTTGTACTCCAGTCATGGGTGTTTATATTTATAATATGTATGTATATAAAGTTATATGTGTAGCGTATCAACTATCTGATATCCATAGCACAAACCTCGTAGCTTACCGTGGAACTAGATGGTAGGTGTGTGTTAATGTCCCAACATATTTTTTTTTGTTTATCATCTCCCGTTTGGTTATACACTACACTGTTTACTGTAATAATGTGGAACAGTGATGTTTTCTCTTTTTATTATATCATTAATGTGGAATCGATAAAATATGTATCAAAAAAGTATTGATTCCTATTAAGTATTTTCTCTTAATGACACATTATATGTTCATACTACAAAACTAAATAAGCGCGTGGTGTACTCGAAATAACTCGATGCACTGAAAAATTTGCTCAGTTTTAATTTCCAATGAGTTAATATGTTATCATAACGAATTTTTAATATTATGTCTAGAGTAAAACTAGATTCACTAAAGTTAGTCTACACTAAAAAAATAAACAAACTAAAGGTAAGGTCCAAATGAAATAAGACAGTCCAAGTCGGTAAGCATTTTTAAAAAGCGTCTCAAAACACACTATTTGTCGCTTTACAACTAAGTTGTCATTATAGTTGCATGTATTTGTTATTGTGTATATTATGTATGTTTATTATTATTTTATTATATTATTATGTATATGTATGTTTAAGTATATGTATGTTTAAGTATTTAAACAATAAATATTTATTGTATAAATAGTATTTTATACATGTATTTTTTATGTATGTTTATATGTAATACGTTTATTGAGTACACTTTATGCACCTTTCCGCTTTCTGTTAACTTTTGTATCCTACTTAGAATTGGCTTCGTGCTACCTACTATCGTTATACTTAGGTATTCTGTTATTATATCGAGAGCTCGACCACGGTAATGTTACATTACCGTGGCTCGACCTATACCTTGACGATACAACTTCGAATTTATTTCGCTCTTAGGGTACAATCCTACGAAGAAATAAACCACAATAAAAAAACTGAACGACACACATGCACTTAGATTAACTTTTGTTGAAAAGATTAAATAATCAAATCATATTTTAAAACACAAATTACGTATGTTTTAAAATATTCAAATACACTGGCGTGCCACATAGAGAAAATGGACAAACTTAAGATATGATATTTTTTTATTAATTTTGTTATTATATATGGGTAGCTGTATACCCTAGGTATCTAAATCAATAATCGGTGAATAATTTAAATAAAAATTATTGCTCGAAAATAGAGGAAAATCAAATTTAATGATTTTTCGCGAGTTTGGTATAAAAATGTAAGCCGCAAATTAATGGGAAAATTAAAAGATTTCGATAGGTTTTATGATTTTTAATAATGCGTATTACCGCCTCTATTTTTAATTACAGTTTTTAATCGGTTTTCAGAGATTTGACACACTTTTTTAGATAATCTTGTGTAATAGACTCCCATTCTTCCAATAAGGCGCTTTTTAATTCTGGAATGTTGCTCGGGACTACTACGCGACTTCTAACTTTTCTTTTGAGATGGTCCCATACATGCTCTATCGGATTGAGCTCAGGGCTTCGCGCTGGCCAGGCAATAGTAGACACTCCGACCTCTTGAAGATACTGCCTTACTGATGTAGCAGTGTGTGGGCGAGCATTATCTTGTAGAAGCAGAAAATCTTCTCCAATGAACCCAGTAAAAGGCATCACATGATCTTCTAAAACCTCCGTTTTATACCTAGCGGCTGTAAGGGATCCATTTTCTATGAATATAAGCTCGTAAGCTTCGTAACAGAATCCTGCCCAAAACATAACTGAGCCCCCTTCATATGACACTGTTTCCTGCATAGTGCATGGTGCATATCTTTCACCTGGTCGCCGATAAACAAAATTACGGCCGTCGGCACCATGCAAACACATTCTGCTTTCGTCAGTAATAAGAACCTTCTTCCACTGCTCCAAATTCCAATTCACGTGATCTCGGGCAAAAAGTAATCTTGCGATTCGATGTGCAGGGGTGAGTTTGGGGCCAGTTGCGGACTTGCGTGGCGTCAGGGAAGCGACTCTAAGTCGGCGCCTTACTGTCCACTCGCTAACATTAACACCTCTCACTTCTCTCAGGAGATTTCGAACGTCAACCCCTGTGCGATGACGATTTGCTGATGACACAATAAATCGATCATCACGCTCTGATGTGGCTCTTCGTCGGCCGGAACCATGTCGTCGTACAAAGCCACCAGTCTCTATGTAGCGTTTGTGCACTCTGTGGACCGTAGAACGGCTCACAGAAAAAGCTTGAGCCACTTGACGTTGACTTTGTCCAGTTTCAAGCAAAGTCAAAGTGCAAAATAGAAGTGTCTTGTTCAATAATTGGAACTCAACTAAGCTTCTAAAATAACAAAAAACAGTATTTGTAGCTTCAATCCATATTATGCAAATATTCACTAATTACTGTTAATTAATTAGTGCATAATATTTAACACCATTCAGACAAAGAAAGACAATAGCATTCCCAAGGAGGGTTGACGTCAGGCAGGCGGCCGGTCGTAAAACTTTTGCCAAATCCTATCAGCAGTACACTGAAGATGTACTGCGCCGACCCCAAGTGATTTGGGAAATGGGCAGGGAGAAGAAGAAGACTGCTAATTGACTATAATTAAGCGCACACGTGCATTTCCAGGAATTTTATGACTTTTTTGAAGGAAACAAAGGCGTCTAATCTCCTTAATTACCTTTGCGGTATTTTTTTTTCACCAAACAATTGTCAACAAAAAATTATGCTTAAAATAAAGGGTGGCCCGATTTTTTTGCACGCCAGTGTAGTTCGAAATTAATCAAATGATTGGACTAACTGCCGTGAGTGCCGACCGTGTGTCAACTGGCAACGCGGTTCTGAGAACTGCACGAGGAGAGGCAGCGTGTGAATGATGTGAGCAGTGAGCGATGCAGCATTGTATGTTGCTTATGACAATGCCACTATTGTCACTTATCAACCACTTGCACTAACTGTGTTGGTTTCAATTTTGATACGATGCAGTATGCTTAAGTACCTACCTATAAATATAATTGTGCGTTCATCGAAGATGGTTAAATTTAATATATTAATAGTACTACTGTGAAATAATAATAAAAGCAAAAACTGAAACATTTTCGTACATCGTTCATTACATTTTTAATTTTTTACGTTAACAATCTTTGGTATTGTCTAAACTCTAAACTGAGCCGGCTTAAAACACTGTACTGCAGAGTATAGATTTTTAGTTCTTTATACTCAAGGTTAATTTAATTGTTAAATTGACTGTACAAAAAGCTGTTTACTTAATATCAAAGTCAATACTCAATACCGTTTACCGAGCCAAAGATAAGCGTGGCCTTCGCGGCGATCAGGCCATTTGACGTCACGCGTCACCACACCCGCACACATGACGACGCTGTCCCTTACGCTCTTGTTGACTGCATAATATACATAGTACCTTATTAAATATAATACATATTATGTACCTATATGTATTTTGAAATTTTATAATGCTAAAATAATTATTGATTGGCCACGAGAATATGTTTTCTTTTGCTGCGTAAAAGGACACACTAACAATTACACTTCGCCATTCCTAATATTAGTAAGCATAGTAACTTGTACGTATCGTGTTGTTAACAACATAATAAATAAACATAATTAACTTAACGCTGCATCTACTTTTTGTTGATTTACTTTTAACACAACTGTTTTAAATTAAAAGTCAAACTATAAATTATATTCTTTGTACATACGTAATACCTAAAATCTCCTACCGCCGGCCGCGAATTGGATTCTAATGTTTCATATCTTAGTTGGCACATTGCCAAACGCACACTACAGTTTCCTATATATGGTAAAAAAGGATTTAAGAATAGAAGATACAAACTTGTAATATTCCTCTGTTTTGAAGTTATAGAGCATAGCATAGTGAATACTCTGCAAAAGTTTAAAACAATATAGTCATATAAGTAAATCGTTCTTGAGTTACGAGCTGCGACCATGGTCGTGGTCACACTCGCCGCCGGGTGTCGCCTAGGACCCGGATGGGGTTAGTACGTAGGTACGTTATTAAACAAACGCACGAATGTCCCCGAATTTCTATTATACGCAGACAATGCAACCCACATTCAAAATACATACATTTACTTGGTTTTAATTCGCTTATTATACAGACGATGACCGAGTTCCCTCGAGGTGACCAACTTAACATGCTATGTACGCAGTCAACGCGGCACAGAGTAGTACTCGGCAAATATTGCACTTGCTACGTACGAGTATATGGCGTGGCGCCGCAGCGGGCGCCTTGTGTTCGATCGATGGTGGAGTGCTTAGACCACTTATACCTTCTACTTGTTTCTTTACGTACGTTATGATAATCATTTTTATATAGAAATTAACATAATATGAACATTTTTATGGCAACAACCTGGTAGGCATTACAAACGCATACAACAAATGTTAGTACCCCGTACCAAACAATGTTTTAATTAAATTATTATTATTACATATTATCTATGTTGCGGTGCGAGCAGATGATTTCAATCACATGTAAGTTTACTACTATTTATGCTATGCGCGTATTTAAGATGTGTATTCTCTTTGCAGGTAAGTAATGGAAGCGATTCTTGACGTTTATTATCCACTCCAACCTTAGCCGCGACTTCGGCACTGTTGTAAGTCATTTTTCACTTGGCACGCCGCACGTGGGACGCGGCAGAAGAAGTATGAAAGCAAGTTGAATGATAGATAATAAACAATAAGCGATAGCAAGACTGAAGTAAAATGTGCTCAGATGGTTTGGACACTGGAATTTAGAAAAAGTAACCAAAGAAAATTCATTATCTCTTCCATAGTATAATTGAATTTTCTCTGAGATCTACAGATTTCCTCACGATTATTTCCTTGACCGTAAGACCACTGTTACCACCACTACCAGATTACCACTTATTTTGTTGAAAATGATTCGTACATGTGGTGGTATCAGGTGCAAGACCCGGGATTTGAACCTGCTTCACTCGGTTTCTCAAGCGAGCATGTTAGCAGTGGGCTACCACTGCTTTAATATATGTATATCTATATTTTATTTTCTACAAAACACATAGTAATTTAGTGATTCGATTAATACGTTCTACATTTAGCATTAACCGTTACCTT